ACCAAGCCCTGTGCAGCTGCTGCACAAGTGGCATCCTTCTCCCATCGACGTGATTTGCAGCCTTTGTTTGTCCTGCATAGGATGCAGAAGGAAGTTGATGGTTGCACAACTGGAGCTCCACAAGCATTTGCGGCCCTGTGACAGCTCAGCTCACCTTCTCACACAGTACTCAGCATGACAGGAAGTCCACAAGCTGAAGAGGGATGAAGCTTTGCTGTGACACTAATTCTATGGTATCCCTATTAACCCCATTCTGTTTTATTCTTGGTGAACACAACCCTGGCAAAGTCCATGTAAGTGGGTTGGATCCAGAATTCCCGTGTATCCTTTGCAATAATGTGGTAGGTGGTACTACAGGGGAAGAGCTAGAAGGAGAAGGGAGGAAGGTAGAAGGACTGGAGAAACAGGTTGTGGCTCAGCTTAGGAGGAGCAGTTAGAATCCATAGCTGAAATTCCAAGCTGGTGGACCCCAAGATAGATCAGGTGGTTGCTGAGACTCAGATCATTTCAAAGACTGTGGGATACCTTAGAGAGCATGTGAATGTGGAGCAGGGCAAACCTAGCACCATTAATATCAATATACAGCATTAGTTAAGTGAGTTGACCAGCCAAGAAACATAGAAACAAAGTGAGTCAGAAGGGGCCTCCCAGGCCATCTAGTCTGACCCCCGGCACCAGCTGGCTCCGCACACGACATGCCCGCCATGTGCATGTCCAGCCTATCCTTGAACACCCCCACCGATGGGGCTTCAACCACCTCTCGTGGAAGCCCATTCCATGCCCTCGGGGTCCTAACTGTCAGGAAGTGCTTCCTGGTGTTGAAATGGAACCTTGGCTCCCTGTGCTTTGCTCCGCACTTCAAGAGATTTGCCCTTGAGGATCCAACTTGAAGGTGCATTTCGCTTTGGAGGGGACTCAGCTTGGAATCAACTACTTATCATTAAGCCACTTTCCCCTAAAGACCAATATACCGCTTGCTTCTTTGGTCACTTACTTCCACAAGACTCTACATTCGTACTTGAAAGCCAGCCTAGCTGGTCAGCTTTAGCATAATGCAAACTTCAAGTTAGGAAGCTACTGTCCTGGTCTGCTTGGCGAGATGGAGAGAGGAATGGCATTGAGCCTACCTTACTCCAAGGGAGCCTCCGCAAGAGATGCTTTTGATACAACCTTGCATGTAATAATTCAAAAACGGATCTTGTTCTAAGGTTTCTCTCATTGAAATCAGTGGGATTTGACTTGCTCCGAATCATTGCTGGCATGGCCAGCTGTCCACAAAGCATTATTCTCCCAGTGCTCCTGATCTATTGTGGTTACCTGGAAGAATTCAGGCCTTTGAATGGTCTAAACATTTATCCTTGTTTTCCAAAAGTGAGGGAGAGAGATAAATGGAAAGGAATGGGTGGGGGCAAGAGAGAATCTAAGGGAACAAGAGTAACTTGTCCTTGTAAAGGATGCAATATTCATCTCAAAAAGGGCACTTTCACAAGAGACCCTTTACTCACATTTTAAATTTCTCATGAATCTGCAGTGATGTCACATTGCTTCAGCTCATACATGGATATTTTTTTTTGCACCTGTACAAATATCAACTCTTCTATTTTCATCCCAAGGTCAGTGTTCTCAGGAAAAGAGTTGGTGTGCTGTGGTGCTGGTTTTTCCCAAGGACAGAAATAGATGTTGGAGCACTTTAGAGAATGGGCCAAAGCAGACCTGATGTTTTAATTGCATGGATGCAGTTAATAGGAATAGCATTTGCAATGTAACTAGCAGCTGTGTGGAAGTCTGGACTGCCCAGAAACCATGGGGATCAGAGAGTGGGAGTTTAACAACAACAACTCCTCCACCACCTCCTCCTCATCGTAGGTGTTTCATTGTTATACCAACCCACAGATGAAGCTCAGACAGTTTAAAACAATCCATAAAACAGACGATAAAATGCAATTGAAAATATGGAAATCAGAAAAAGCCCTCTTTTTCTCTACTGTGGCCCCAAGAAGAAATGCTTTTCTGAAAACGCTGTTTGCATGTGAGAAGCCTCTCTTGTCAGGACTGTGGCATGGAAAGAACCACTTGGACTCATCCTTCCCACAGTCCTGAGGATGCTCTTCACATGCCAAAGATGAATGTTAAGGAATTTCTCCAAGTAACATCCTATCTACTTCAACTGTGCAATCCTATGCACAACTGCTCAGAATTTGTCCGACTAAGTTCAACGGAACTTAGTTTCTCATCAGCAGGCACAGGATTGCAGATTCAATGCACCTACAGCCAAGGGGGAAACCAGCAGCCCGCAGAGACAGTCCATGCAACCTACTTCAGGCACCCTGCCCCTCCGGCCCCCTCATGCATCAGCATGTCCAGTGGGATTTTGACTTTCCCCTTTCCACTGGCAGGCACTCATGCTCATCCAGAACAGCTCTGGAAACTTCTTCCAGTTCCAAAAGTAATTTATTATAAGATGAGGCATTCTCGGGGAGGCAATTGGTTGGAAAACCCAGATCCAAATTTTCCATGGGTACCAGACATTATCTATGCTATTCTATGGACTCCAACCATATTGAGAAAATGGGAGCCCATCATATGATTGGAAGTAAACTGGAATTCTTCTAGGATCTATACTATAAATGTAAAATTGTGGGCCCCACCAGAACATACTGCAAGAATTATGCAATCTTCAGCCAAAGGATACTTTCCAGGCTATGAGCAAAGCATCATACTTGCCTCACCTCTGAAAGTTCCCCCAAAGCCTTTCACTGCCAAAGCAACTAAGATATGGGCATGACTGGTAAATAGCAGTCGAGTGTGGGAGCAAGCCCTATGACAGCATAGGACCCTCAGCCTTATTTAAAAGGCCCTCTGCAAGGTATCGGTCCATTCCTCTGGCAAGTACTGGCTGGGGAGGAAGAGGGAGAGAGATGGAGAGCCGTAGAGCTTATTGGCTGTGATTTAAGTGGAGCAGTGTGTCCCTTCTAAGCGCCTCTCTGAGCTTTCAAGAAGCTGTCCATGGTTCTGAACTCTTACCACTCAAAATAGGTTCAGTACCAAGGCGACCTCCTTTAAAGTTCAGATTGGCCCCCAGTCCAACATTCTGAGAACCACACCATCCTGGCTGCACTTCCCCAGTGAGATTGGGGCCACCAGCCACTGCCTCTAGAAGGAAACACAACGGGGTAGCAGAGAGAGGGGGTGGGGGGGGAGAGAGAGAGAGAGAGAGAGAGGGAGGGAGGGAGGGAGGGAGGGAGGGAGGAGCTCTACCACTTTTGGGTCCAACCCTCCTCACTCACTGTTGGTGCAACTTAGAGAGTTTGTGGCAAACAAATCTATTTTTTGCTGATAAAATGTATGCAATGTGCAATGTGCAAAGGGTATGCAAATTTGCAAAGTATATATATATGTATGCTTTACACACATATTTTCTATGGATAAAATTGTCTTTTCAGAGCAGAATTTGGCTCTTTAATTGCCACTGTCTGGAGAAGGGAGGATTGAGATTTACAGACTAGTCACAGTCAAAGAGAATTGCAGAGATTTACGGACTAGTCATAGCCAGAAACAGAATGATGGAGGCTGCGGAAAGGAGCACTGATGGAGTTCAGAGTGGTCCTGAGTAATATTACAATGTGGAAAACCCACAACACTCCTCCTGTTTGTGAACCAAGGTGCTGAATGCCAACAGGATTGTAGCGAAAATGAGATGCAACAAGGAAGTATTAACATGGACAGAGAAACCCTGAGATTTGCAGAAAAATGGAACATCTTTTTAAAAAATTAAAACAAAAAGACAACATAGCCTGAAACACAGCTCAATAAGGACTGAGATTCCCAGGAGCAAAGGTATGTAGGGTGTAAGCTAAGAGGAAGCACAGAAACCCAGGGTGGTGTACATGTGTGCCAGTTAGAGCTAGGGTTGTAAGAGGAAGCCATTTTGAAGTTGAGATGCCATCAGATTCCCTGGGCTCAGCTTCCTGGGTACCAGTCCGCTTTGTTGTGGCCATGAATAATTGTTCTTGGAGTATCTAACCAGAATTTGTTATTTGTTTTTCGGTGCCAGGCCAAGACCTTTTTATTCAAACAATATTTTAACACTGTTTAATATTTATAGGTTTTAACTGTGCAGCCAGGGTGTTTCCAGGTTTTAATTGTAATTGTTATTCATATTATATTTATTTATTTCTGTGAGCCATCCCGAGGCTATATAGCAAGGGGATGGCATATAAAAACTTTAAATAAATAAATAAATAAATAATTTGCGTGGTGCTCACCAGGAATCAAGCTATCTGCCAAGCAGTGGAAGAAGATTAAGTCAGGATAATTGAGGGGAAGGAAGGTTTATTTAAATCTTCTCTACTGTGTCTTTACCCAAAATGGGTCTTGAGACAGCTCACAAACCAGTAACAGCACATTAAAATACAATATAAAATATATAGTTACATTCCAATTATAATAAACCATCAACCCTTAAAATACTGGGGAAATAAAAAGGGTTTGGCCTGGTGCTGAAAAAAATAAAGTGTCCACACTAGATGCAACCTCTCTGGGGAGCAGATTCCAGAGCTGGGGTGCTCCCACAAATAAGGCTATTCTCTGGGTCTCTGGGCCACTCCAAAGAAGCACCTCAGTGGAAGATCTTAAAGTTCAGACAGGTGTATATGGAAGAAGACGTTATCCCTCCATATCAGCAGCAAAACTCCCATGTGTTGCATATTGTGATGTGAAAATATGGCATGGATATGAGGCTTCCTGTCCTTCAAGGGGACCAAAGAACAGCAGCCCTCTTCCTATTCCTGTGTGCTCCTGCGTGTGAATCCAAAAGCAGACGGTTAGGCGTATGAGTCATGGTGATGCCGAAGAGACGTCTCTTGCAGCATGCTAAATCAGAAGGAAGCCACATGCATGACAAGCCCCCTGGTATTTCCACTCTCTCCATAATAATGCTGTGGACACTAACAAACTGAAAAGGCAGAAGGACAGGACAGAAACCAGACAAAGGCTCTTACTTTGTTTTGAAGTAGAACGCTGCACAGATCATGCCCACTATGACTATGCCAAAGACGATACAGGAAATAGACAGCACTTGCCGTTGGTAAACCTCTTCACTCTCTGTGGATGGTAAAATTGAGAATTATGGCAACAATGAACAGCAACATCTGGAAATAGGGGTGGGGGGTGTTTAGAATGAGCGACTTGATGCAACGTCCTGCCCGTCATGAGCAGAGGCAGTGGGTGGCTTTGGCTGGGATCGGAAACACTCATTGTGGCTCGATGAAGGGAGACATGCCACGAGGGACACAGGAATGCCACTTCCCCTGGGTTGAGTTCTCCCCACAGAAGACCCTGCGGTGCATGTGGCTTACTGGATGTTGCACCCCACACGGCCCCTGCTGGCTGGGAAATGTGACGCGACATGTCACAACACACAGTAAGTGCTCCTGCACGTTGCAGAGAAGAATTGGATGTCAGAAGCTGTTTTAAGCAGCAACCCTGTGCCTCTGGGAACAGCTCATCCTGCCAGAAGTCATTTATCTAAAACTTTGCTCTTAGAAGGTTCTAGGAAAGAAATAAACTTCTTATAAGGTTCCCTTCAAGTGCCTCTGTGGACTTGGAAGGAAATTAATATTGAAACCAAGGGCATCCAGCCTAATTACTCTGTTCTTCAGAAAGCTCTTTAAATAATATTAAGCGGACAGAAACAGGAATCTATCCCTTAACCATAATTATGACTTACTAAGTCGCACAAAGCTCCTGGGAATGCATTCATTTCCCCTCCTTCCCCCTTGCTCCCTGGTTTAAAATGCATGCTTTGTTTTCCTGTGGGCTACATGGTGCTCTTTTCTCTAGGCTCCTCGTTGTTCCCCTGGATTCTAGGCAAACAAACAACATAAAACACTGAAAGATTTACAGCGCAAAAAAGAATGGAACAAAACCAAGCACAAAGGAAACTCCTACGGTCTGATAGAGTTGGATGAAAGCCAAAGGCTTTCTGTAGTCTCTGATGTGCTCTACTACATAGCACCTAACTTTCCTGGGAGTTGATTGTTTGAGGGATATATTTTAAAGCAGTACTCTCAGCAAACGTTGTTGTCACATAATTAACTTGAAGAGAGGGATGGAATGGAGATAAAACAGCAAGGAAAAAAATCCTAGATCACATGGAGATGATTACTGGGCAATTCATATGCAATTGAGCACCGGCGAATGAAATCAATCAATAATTCCCATAGTGGTGTATTTTAATACCAAAGGCTTTCTTAATCCACTGGCTAAGTGTAAAATTGGTTGGATTATATTGCTGCGGGATAATTGATAACACAGGGATTAACAATAGGGTTGTAAATGAAAATGCATAGATTCAGAAACATTCAGTGGATACTGGATGACTATTCTATAAATATTTGCTCTGGCTGAGAGAGCTGTATATATATATCTAATTACCTCCCCATTCATTTCAAATGAGAGCTACAGGGGCAGGCGAATGCATACTAGATCTCCTGCTTTTATTGATGTGAATGGGGAATTGGTAGGAGGCAGAGAAGCTCAGGAGGCAATTCTGCACTCTTCGGCTGGAAAAGTATTCTTGGATCAGAGTGGTTGTTCTTGAGTTTTAGCATCTGGCTGAAAAGCTTGCTTGTCCTTACCAAAATTGGGCTGTTATTTGCTTAAAATGCATAGAAGGTTCTCTTGCTATTACTGCTTTGTACATAAAATCAGAACAGTGGCAGGGAGGGGGAAGGGTAGCAGCTGTCTAAATTTCAAAGCACAGTTATGCCTCCATAATTTCTACGGGAAAGATTTAAGCTCACATTAACTTGCATTTAGCTGTCATCTTGTCACCCATTGGGCTATTCCATATTGTTGCCTTTCCCAACCTGGTTCCTTCCAGATGTATTGGACTGCAACTCCCACCATCCCCAGCCAGCATTTCCCCAGCTCATGGTGGCTGGGAATGATAGGAATTGCAGTCCAACATCTGGAGTCCTCAAATTGGGAAACACTGCCATGTCCCATGGCAGAAAGCCTGGATGTGCTAAGGAGCTGTCCTTTCATCAGTGTAGCAGAATGAGGATATATGCATTTCCAAACATGTGTCTGTCTCATTCACACACTACAATTTCAGGTTGACATGAGCCTAACAAAGGTACTTCATGAAGAGGGTCTTGGAATACTTTGATTTTAAGGGCAAAGTGCCCAATATTTTTCAACTGAATTCAACGCTTCAAAACAATTGGGTACCCAACATTTTTCAGCAGAATTAAATGCTTTAATAACATTTCTATTTATTGTTTTATAACTTCCTTTAAATCTACTTTCAGACAGAAAATAACACATTTCAGAGATAGAGGCAGTGCTTGTTTTTCATCTACACTGGATTAGGACCACAAACAGTAATTTCTCTACCACATTTGTGCCAGTTCATGCAAGGAAGATCTTAGTTCTAAATAACAAAACAAATGCTACCAACCACTGCCCAATCCTCAAACCACCTGTCTCTCCAAACAAACACTGAGTTATATTGTTATCAGGATGAGTGGAGGTCTTCTCAGAGGTTGATGGCATGATCTCCTTTTGCATCCCTTGGGGCACACCTGTCTTAAGTGGCCCCAAGAAAGGTGTGCAACAAATTATCATGTGATCTCCTTTTCTGAAATGTGCTGCCACCAACTTGGGGAGGACCAGATCAGAACCCTTCATGCCTGTGGGGTAGCAGAACAGTTTTCACGTGTCTACAGATGACTGTCAGACTTTTCTCTTTTCTCTTGTATTAGACTTATGTCGAGTAACAGTAATGTGAAGATACCATCATAACCCTGAAGAAAAGAAGGGAGAAAAAATGCTGGAAAGGTACGTCTGTCATGCCTTGGAAAAGCTCATGCATGGCAGATTGTGAAGTGTACATAATTTCAAAGGATCTTTAGAGATCTGTTAGATGGGATGCCTGAATAGAATGGAAATGGAAGGCTCTGTGTATTAACTGATTAGATGTATCCATCCCGTGGGTGAGTGGAGGCAGTGAGCTCTCTGGAATTGCTTCCCACCCATCAGCAGTCCAGTGGATGCTCTGGCCAGGAGGCAGCCCAAAAGACATGTGGTTCCCATTCTCCCACTGCAGCAAATGCCCCACTGGGAGAGCAGCAAGTGGACCACTTGAAGGAGTGCTTGTTGGTTTGGGATAGTCTGGGGAGCTGTCAATCTGTGAGGAATCTGACATGGGGTGAAAATCTGCTGGGTTGTTATTCACCTCCACCCTCCAATTCCGGTTCATTGGCTCTGTCCTGGTTCTGGCTCACTGTGGTGGAAGCTGAGCCAGCTTGCAAACTTCAGGCTCTAAGAGGGGGCCCTCTTTGTGCATTTTGAAGTGCCAATGGAATTTGCACAAATAGGCATCCCTGAAAACCATATGCTCTATAGAGATGTGTGCCGAATTGCATGATGCACACCAATTGTGCTAGAGCTATGTGACTTTCGGGTTCTTTGTTGCACAAATTTCATTAGCAGCTTTTTTAAAATGTGCAAATCACAAACCATTTTAGAGATGGAAGTCATGAGGAGGCAAAGGAAGAGGAGGAGGTGGAGGGGGAGGAACACTTAATTGCCTTGGTTCACTTCTCATCATTTAATCAGAAGCAGGAAGGAATTCCATTGAGGTTAGATGCACCAGATTTCCCTATTGTGTTACAGTTTCATTTGCCAGTTCCTCACGCTACTGGAGGATTTACCCTTCCTCATGAGAATGCCAACCCTGGGATACAGTCCAAAATTCTCAAATCCAAACTGCTGGAAGTTGACAGAAGTATAAAACCCTACCACAGTACCAGTTGAAATGGTTATGGCTGGTATAGTACAACATGAGTAAATATTCCCCAGGGACTGAGCATTTTAACTGCAAGCTGTCTCACATCACATCATTTAAAAATTCTACATAATACATAACCTGTGGAAGTGATTCAATAATTCAATTGTGTTATTAATTAAACTGAGCTGATTTAGAGACTAGCTGACTGCATCGTTGCATGTCTCTATGCATTTTGTCATAAAAATAATAGTAATAATGCTGAATAGCTTAGGGGTCTTAAAGGGCTCATCCACCTCTATGTCTGCCTCATTAGAGTTGCTCATCAAGGTTATTAAGCTGATGCTTATAAATTAATACTGTGACATATGCCAAGGTCGCACATCAAGGTGCATGGATTTCTGTAATTGTACATTAACTATAGAATAATCTTGATCTTTTCCTCATGGAGTGTCTATAAATGGTACAAGAAAAAAAAGAAGAAAGCAAATGAGGAGTTCTTATTTCTCATTCCACCTCCACACGCAATATTTTCCCATACACATGCAACACTGGATCTAACACTGGATCTAGTTGACTCTGGATCCTTGTTGTCTTAGATATCTTCAGCCCCCACTCGCTTTATAAAATTGTTAATGTATGAAATCCAGGGCCATTAAGATTATGCTGCTCCTCCCCAGAATTTAGCTCTCCTTTGTCTGTTGGACTTTTTCTCATGCTTGGCCTCACATAGGAAGCAAACCAAACCACGAGAGAAGTTTGTAAGAGCTTGTGGACCTCTCTTGCAACCAGCAAACTTCTTCCTGTCAGGTTCAAGGAAGGGGGACATCAACTGCATGTGTTCATGTGAGCTCACAATTTGCATGACATCAACCAATTTGCACAAACTGGCACCCCAAAAACAGGTAATTTCCAGACAATTGCTCAGGCCAGCTTCAATTCTATACACACATTCAAAGAAGTAAGACCTTTCAGAATCAGTGACTCTTACTTCTGAGTAGAAATGCATAGGATAAATCATGTGTGAAGAATTTTGTTTGGGGGTGGGAATCCAGGCTTCAAATTTTCTCATTTCAGCTCCCGGGACTCCAGCCAGCTTTTTCTCTGCCCTAAATCTTCACTGTGCCAAGCGTTCATGCCAGTTTCTGCCAGGGAATCAGTCCAAGTGAGTCTATAAGGCAAGCTTGGATTGGATTTCCTCAGCTGAGCTCCTCAGATTTTGGCCCTCTTTCTATCTGCTTTAGGTCCACCTCGTGTCAATGCTTGTGTAGAGCTGTGGCAGGAAGTGAGCCCCTCAAGCCGGCTTACCACA